TCCCATTTTCCCCATATTTTTCCCCGTTTTCCCCACAGTGAACGGTGTTCCCTGGCCACAGGATCCATCCCCAATCCCATATTTCCCATTTTTCCCATTTTTCCCATTTTTTCCATATTTTTCCCCATTTTCCCCACAGTGAATGGCGTTCCCTGGCCACAGGACCCATCCCCAATCCCATATTTCCCATTTTCCCCATATTTTTCCCCACAGTGAACGGCATCCCCTGGCCCCAGGATTCATCCCCAATCTAATTTTTCCCATTTTTCGCATATTTTATCCCATTTTTCCCCGTTTTCCACAGTGAATGGTGTCCCGTGGCCGCAGGCTCCATCCCCAGTCCCGTTTTTCCCATTTTTCCCATATTTTTTCCCAAATTTTCCCCATTTTTCCCCACAGTTAATGGCATCTCCTGGCCCCAGGCTCCATCCCCAATCCCATATTTCCCATATTTCCCATTTTCCCATCTTTTATCCCATTTTCCCCATATTTTATCCCATTTTTCCACAGTTAACGGCGTTCCCTGGCCCCAGGATGCATCCCCAATCCCATTTTTCCCATTTTTCCCATATTTTTCCCTGTTTTCCCCCAGTGAACGGTGTCCCCTGGCCCCAGGACCCATCCCCAATCCCATTTTTCCCATTTTTTCCCATTTTCCTCATATTTTATCCCATTTTTCCCCAGTTAACGGCGTTCCCTGGCCCCAGGATCCATCCCCAATCCCATATTTTCAATCCCATATATTTTTTTCCCAATTTCCCCACATTTTCCCCATTTTTCCACAGTGAACAGCGTTCCCTGGCCGCAGGATCCCATTTTTCCCATATTCCCCATATTTTCCCCATTTTTTCCCCACAGTTAATGGTGTTCCCTGGCCCCAGGATCCATCCCCAATCCCGTATTTCCCATATTTCCCAGTTTTCCCATATTTTTTTTCATTTTTCCACAGTGAATGGCGTTCCCTGGCCGCAGGCTCCATCCCCAATCCCATTTTCCCCATATTTTATCCCAAATTTTCCCAAATTCCCCATTTTTCCCCGCAGTGAACGGCGTCCCCTGGCTGCAGGACCCATCCCCAATCCCATATTTCCCATTTTTCCCAAATTTTCCCAATTTTCCCCGCAGTGAATGGCGTTCCCTGGCCCCAGGACCCCTCCCTGATCCCATATTTCCCATATTTCCCATTTTCCCTATATTTTATCCCATTTTCCCATATTTTTCCCCATTTTTCCGCACTGAACGGCGTTCCCTGGCCCCAGGATCCATCCCCAATCCCATATTTTTGTTCCCTGGCTGCAGGACCACATTTTTCCCATTTTTCCCATATTTTATCCCATTTTTTCCCCACAGTGAACGGCGTTCCCTGGCCGCAGAATCCATCCCCAATCCCATATTTCCCATTTTCCCATATTTTATTCCATTTTTCCCATTTTCCCTTCAGTTAACGGCGGTCCCATGACACCAAGGTCCATCCCCAATCCCATTTTTCCCATTTTTCCCATTTTTCCCATATTTTCCCCATATTTTTTCCCAAATTTCCCCATTTTCTCTGCAGTGAACGGCGTCCCCTGGCCGCAGGCTCCATCCCCAATCCCGTATTTCCCATATTTCTCATTTTCACCATATTTTATCCCATTTTCCCCATATTTTCCCCCATTTTCCTCACAGTGAACGGCATTCCCTGGCCCCAGGACCCATCCCCAATCCCATTTTTCCCATTTTCCCCATATTTTATCCCAAATTTTCCACAGTGAACGGCGTTCTCTGGCCGCAGGCTCCATCCCCAATCCCATATTTCCTATTTTCCCCATACTTTTCCCCATTTTTCTGCAGTGAACGGCGTTCCGTGGCTGCAGGACCCCATTTTTCCCATTTTCCCCATATTTTATCCCATTTTCCCCAC